CAAGATAATTCGTTATGGCAGATAGTTTTCATGCGGCAATTAGTTTCCTTTCGTGTCAGATAGTTCTTTTTGGCGAATAGTTCCGTCAAAATAGTATCATATTCGGTGTCATCTATTGCGCTAGTTTTTATTTTACGATTAGATTAAATGTAAAAGTATATGCAACGGTCTTTAATGCGGGATCCGTGAATAGGATCGATCGACAAATAGTTTCCTTTCGTTTTCAGCGGTGACGACGATTACTTTTCAGACAAAATTCATTTCGTTTTGACGATCGTCAAACAGTTTCGTTTCGGTTTGCTTAATTTCAACAATTTGTTTGTTTCGACATATTGTACTAAATCGGTGAATACATGTGTTTCATATATTATTTTTATATAATATCTAAAAAGAGATAATGCATCGACAAGTAGATTTAGAAAATGCTTTATTGTTTTAGGTTAAAAATATAAATATATTGTTTCTTAGGTTAAATACATAAGGATATTGATGATTTTGGTTACATATAAAAATATGTTGCATTTTTGTGTTAAAAATAAATATATTTTGTTGTTTTGGTTAAAAATAAAATTAAATTGTTTATAAACAATTTTAATAAAACCTAAACACGTTGTTCTTTAATTCAAAAATAACATCTCATTATTCTATATTTACTTTTGTAGTACAAACTGATCATCTCACAATTTCATATAATGTGAGTTAAAGACTTCAACTTAAAACACAATATATTCATTATTTTTAACATGCTTATTTTTTTTTTATATACAATCAACTCTTTTACATTATTTTGTATAATATAAATTAATAACAATTACAGAGAATATACGCTAAATGAAGGAAAAAGATGGTTACAAATAAATTGTTGACTCGACATACTTTTCTTATTTTCAAGCAAAAATATGCACGCCATATTTTTTCTTTTCACAGCCTAGTTTTTATTTAAACATACCATTATCTTTTTACTTTTCTTTTATTACTTTTATTTTACTTTATATAACCAAAACATAATACGTTTATAATTTCAAATAATAGTAACATGGAATTAAACTTTAAACACATCAAAATAAATAATTTATAAACTGCTTTGTTGATTATGATCGGGTTCCAAATAAACTTTTGATGTTAGCCACTTAGCCCAAATTGATTAGGTTAAGCCCAAATCCTTGTTGCTGCCCTAATCTTTTGTCTGTCCAGCCGACAAAAGAGATCAGATATTTCTTTTCTTTCATCGATAACCAAAGGAACACAAACAATTTCTTTCTTTTTTATTCTTTCTCCTTGTTCCAGTCGACACAAACAAAAGAAATCAAGAAATCTTTTTTCTTGTTCTTCCTTTCAATCGACAGTTTGTGATAAATCAAGTATCGTTTTTTTCTTCGTCTATCTTTCTTGGTTCGATGGTTCTTGGCAAGGTCGTGAAGTTTAGTTTCCAATTTGGATGTGAAAAACAAAGAAGAAGCTGCAGGATCTTTGAGGTTCTCGGGTTTTAATAGTGAAGTCGGGTTGTCGAAGATGGAGGAGCTTGATTGCAGCAGTGGGGTGGTGATGATGTTCTCAAAAAATGGCAACCAAGCAGGTGGTTCTGGTCTCGGCTTCTCGATGGCAGGAGTAGGCGAAGGTGATCGTTATCAGTGATGTTCGAGAGGGGTTTATATAAGGTGGTGGTTGTTGGTTTGTTGGAACGAAAACGAAAGCAGTGGATGTAAGGCTTATCGGAATTTTCTATGATGTTCCATTTCAAATATCAGTTATTTCTTTCTTCATTTCCTTTTCTTTTGTAGGTTGATGCTGGAAAACGAAGTTCAATAGTGTTAGCCATGGTTGTAAGGCGAAAACGAAGGCAGCAATTGTTGGCTCTGGTCTCGGTTGTAAGGTGAAAATAAACAAAATCCTCATTACTTCAACTCTCAGCAATTTAATTTTGAATATTTTAAAGTTAATTTTATTTTCTGGATCTGGATTTTGGCTCGACTGGATTTTAATTATTAAGATTGTGCTTATATGTATTCCAGATGCGATGTGTAATGGTGGTTATAGGCTTTTTAAAGAACATATGTGATTTTGAACCTTGAAACTTTGTATTGAAATCTATGTTTGTCTTCAAAATTGATTGTGAAATTGAAGTGAGCTTGTTTATGGTCCAGAGTTGTTAAAGGAAATAATACTATAATAGTACCAAGGATTAAACTCATTTTAATTTCTCAGTTCAATTTCTCACATTTTAGATCTGAACCTTGAAAAAAAACTCAAATAACAAAAACTCATTATTTTCTTATATATTTGAAGATTGAAAATAATTAAAATCATAAATAATAAATTGGGAATGAAATAGGAAGCTAATGTTACCTACAAATCTCAAATCACAAGTACATTACACGTATGTTATTAAGCTTTAATTGGCAACTATTCTTTTTTGTAAACATATGAAAGTGAATCATTTTTAACATGAGACACAACTACACCAAAGCCTCCTTACATGACACCAAACACCAAGTAGTTATCTTGATAAGGATGAGAGATTCATGCAAACCTCTTTTTTCAATATGTCACCACCAAAATTCAGCCCCATAAGAAAACTTGATTGGTTGGATGTAATGATATTTAATGAAAATGGCTAGCATTAAGATATCAAATTCCTACCAGTCAAAAATAAGTATTACTGGTTTAGGTTTAAATAAAGTGGAGAATGAACCTTTTGAATGCTTAAAACATGTATAATAACCAAACGATAAATTTATAGAAAGGTAATGATGTTCAATGAAAATGGCTAACATTATGATATCAAATTCCTACCAATCAAAAATAAGTATTACTGGTTTAGGTTTAAATAAAGTGGAGAATGAACCTTTTGAATGCTTAAAACATGTATAATAACCAAACGATAAATTTATAGAAAGGTAATGATGTTCAATGAAAATGGCTAACATTATGATATCAAATTCCTACCAATCAAAAATAAGTATTACTGGTTTAGGTTTAAATAAAGTGGAGAATGAACCTTTTGAATGCTTAAAACATGTATAATAACCAAACGATAAATTTATAGAAAGGTAATGATGTTCAATGAAAATGGCTAACATTATGCTACTTTTTATTTTAACAGGAAAAGATGAATGTGAAGAAAGTGCTATCTGGTGGTGTATAGAAAGATAATGAGGCTGAACAAAAAAAAACAGTGAAATAAAGAAAGAGAAGAGGGGGCTACGTTAGAGAGAGAGAGAGAGAGAGAGAGAGAATGTGAGGGTATAATGCTGGTGCTAGAGTTTATATAAGGAAGAGTCTACTTTTTTGTAAAAGTTAAACATATAATCCTATTATTTTGATTGGCTGATTCTTATTCTCAAGGATCACCATCTTACACCATTAAAATAGATCCAAATCATGTAAATTAGATCCAATGGCCTTGTTTTTTAAGACTTAGTCTTAATTTTGATGGGGCTTACATTTATAAACTCTTTATAAAATGGTATATATATATATATATATATATATATATATATATATATATATCCAAAAAAAAATCACATATATATCAAAATATATTATTTAATCATAATTAATCTATTTAAAAATTAAATACATTTTTTTTAATTGCTGAAATACTCATTTGCATTCCTTCCAACATATGGTTATTCAAGACTTGATATCTTGTCGGTTTTTATTCTACATGATTGATTAGCAAAACCTGATTATTATATTCCTAATCGATTGCTAAATAATATATTTCAATCTCCTACAGTCAACTAAAGAGACATGCAGTTATTCTCCTATAAACAATTTTGTTACGAAATGAATCCATAATTGGTGATTATGAATTTGGGATGGGGATTCAAACATTCAATCGACCTTAACTATGTTATCGATCTTCATATTGAATGTAGTTATCAATGTGGACAATGGAAATACTTCATGATAATTATTCTGCATAAGGATGGTGTAAATAAATATAGTCTAATCAATTATGGATTTAATTTCAGTTTGATGGTGGTTTTCATGTAGCTAGGTAAGTAGGCTGAATTTTTTTTATAGCTGATTAGAACCAATAACACCTGGCAGAAATCGAACATTAAACGTCATGTCTAATTGCAACGAATATGGAGCATTGAAAACTCGACGAATCCAACTTTTCTAAGTTTCTTAACACTATAAATCTCCGGCAAATAAGACATGCATTATGTTCCATATTACAACTTCAACACTTGGCCAATATTATCTGATTCCCAACAATTGTTTTTACCTTTCATTGACAATCCTTAAGATTTTCACAGGGGTTATTATAATTATCAATACCACTAATTGAAACGACATGCAATGTTTGAAAGATTTCCATTAGACTAGAATTCTATTCATAAATCTCGGCATACACAACAACATAGTCAAGTTATGATTGTTTTATGTTAGAAATATGGTTTAGTGGCACTTGGAAATCTGAGAATCGTGATAATCACTTTCAAATCGAAGTATTTGGGTGGTACTCCCAAATCCTCAATTGGATAAGACTCAGATAAAATCAAAGAGAAAGAAAGAGAGAATGAGATGGTGTAATTTTCGTGAGTACCAGAAAACTGACTAAAATTGGTTATATACATTCCTTGTCTGAAAAACTGTCAAAACTGTCATATAACAGTTTTCTCAACAGTCAAAACTGTTATAATCTGTTATAAATCGAGATGGTGCCAGCTCGATCCCAGCCAGGGGCTCTGCCCCTTGGACCCCGCCAGGGGCTGCCGCCCCTTGGACCCCGCTCCCAGGGGCGCTGCCCCCGGACCCCCGTTCGTTCAGGGGTTTCGACCTTAAATGACAGTGTACTTTGATACTTGATCAAACTTAAACAAGTGTGTACTCCACACCTTCCTTACTTGTTTAATATTTATCAAGATCATTTTTAGTCAACAAAGTAATCCCATTACACTTAAATAACATTGATGATAACAAATCACCAACATTTTACCCACGGGAAAGTAAAAGATAAGGCGTAATTCCAAGATGCATACTCAGTTTCACTTGCCAAAATACAATCGGATATCATTCAGATTAAATCCTATGCTGCTATTGTTGCTTGGCTTGCCAAAGATGCATGCATATGTCGACTGAAATAGATCAACTATGATGGGGATCTGAAGAGTACTAAATGCTGCAATTGGGAGGAAAGCTAATACACAAATTGGAGCAACCATCCATGGTCTTTTATAACAAAAGACAAGGTACAATGTTGTGCCGAAAGCCACCATCATTGCAGTTGTAGATAGGAGCAAGGTGACAAGACCAATAATCATTCGTCTTGGCAAACGGTGTAGGAAATCTTTCTCAGAAAAACGTCCAGTGAGGATCGACAAAAACATTAGTAATGCTGTACTGGATGCAAATAGTGACATTGCATCTGATATAGCAAAGATGGTGAAGGCAATGTTGTCTATAAACAAAGGGATGCCTGATTCTTGCTTGATTCCACCTGGCACTGTAATGGCTGCTGCAAACACTACTGTAGTAATTAGACCTGCGGTGATGCTGCATGATTCTGCTACAACTTTCATCCACTTCTCTCCTTCCTTCACCAAATTCTCGTGTTCCCGTGTGAACACCATATCTGGTGTCTCCTTAAAAATGTTCTCTTTGGTAATGTATGCTGGAAATATGAGTTTCTTGACTTCCTATTTAGAATTAAATTTACTCGATTATGCTACTATATATACAATGAAAATATTAATTCTTTACAGTTCATTTAGGATGTAGTACCTTTCGCCATTGAAGCTCTCTTTGTAGTTGAAATGCTGCACCTATACTGCGTTTGAGCTTCTGGGAAGGAGCTAATCTTCAAGCCAAGTGCAACATATTGTTCTTTAATGAATCTTCGATTGTTCCATAAATGCTCTTACGCTCCTCCATGAGATAAATAAGGTTATAAATCTTTTCTGAATGATGTATTACTGCTAATTGTATAATGTCATACCCTTGTTCATCTTTATACCGAATTGCTTCAGGGGATCTCAATAGAATCGCATCAGCAACCTCATAATCATTTTTACGAGCAGCCTCAAGAATGGATCCGGTGTAATAGTGAGAATGAGCATTAGCAATCTTGGACTTGTCTATTGCTTCACATACCAATTTTAGAACCTCTTTTTCTCTTTCCCGTTCCTTCTTTTTCTTCTCGATATGCTTAATCAGTGCAACTGATGCAAGTTACAAGAACAATCAGTTGGAGTAGAATCATTAAATTTATACTATTAGAAATTATATCTCTCAAGCTTAATTAGTAATGGGTTGATTAACTTTGTATGCTCTTACCGAATATTGCTGCAACCTTCCACAAGCTGAAATAAATCATAAGGAATGGGAAATAAACAATCAATATGACGAGGCGCATCAATCGACAGATCCATATAAGCATGAACAGTGGAACTGTAGAAGCACAAAATGTTTATTTGAAAAAATGCAATATACTTTGTGAGTTCAGATATATGCTTAATTCCCAACTTGTATGGACTTGTTAGTAGCAGCTCACCACCTAAAATGATGAATACCAGTAGTATATATAATAAAATATATCACTTTTTCGTCCTCCAAGATTTGCTTGCAAATGAAATATGGGCTTACTAATATTAATAGCAGGCACTTAGCTCTTTCCACAATCTCTGTACAAATATTGTCCAAAACTAAAAGAAAAAAAAGCGATAGTCAAGAAAAGGGAAAAAAGAATACAAAAGAAACTATATCTGGTACATTAGAAAGAAACTTACCTGGATATATAAGTGTTTCTCCAAAGTCTAGCCCGCTGGGAAAGGTTCTAGCTATTGCCATCAGTACATTATCATACTTAACAACAAATTCAGGATAATCTTTGACCAACTTTATTGCTAAATATGCATGCAAATTCAAAAGAATATGCAATATTGAAAGAAGTAAGCCTTTTGAGCGCGTATTTAGGTGATATATATATATATATATATATATATATATATATATATATATGTTGGGAAAATTAGGGTTTGCTGTGGAGATCTGGATACCCGCTTGGATCGTGATATCACTTTCCGAACTGATATTTCTACCCTATGCCTGGGTTACAAGAAATTCAGCCTAGGATAATCCAAGCGGACTACGTTTCCAGGCACAGAAAACGTAAGCTATTATGCTAAAGGGTTCTGTGAATGTGTGATGAAAAACGAGAGGTAAAAAGAACGTCCGTCTTCTGAAAAGGAACAGTTGTTTATATACTAAACACGATTAGGGTTTCATTATGCGGGACCACAGCTAGGGGCTCTGCCCCTCGGACCCCGCTAGGGGAACTGCCCCTAGACCCCGCCAAAAGGGCACCGCCCCTTTGGAAACCCCGGACCCGGGGGAGCTGCCCCCGGACCCTCGACTAGTCATCGAACCGGCTTCTGACTCGATCTTATACATGCGTGCACTCCACACAACCCCGTACATGTATTAGAATACAAATCATGAAGCCCCTTAGCTCACATGTTAGTTCCAGTTACTTAAAATGACATGGTGACACTAAAATCACAAATTATATATATATATATATATATATATATATATATATATATATATATATATATATATATATATATGCTACGCACCATACTGCTTTGAAGAAACAACATTAACAAGAAGTTCGACGACAATTTTTACTCCAGGGTTAACAGAATCATCCAAAGAAGTATTTTTCTCCGGTTTCTCATTCCCCTTGGCGGCTTTTAACAAACATTCAACGGTATCGAGATGCATATTGTCAAAAGCTTTATGCAAAGGTGCTTCGCCTTTAAGGTCTTTTGTTACCAACAACTCTCTGTTTCTTTTAATCAAGAACTTTGCTGCTTATGTGTTGCCGACTATTGCAGCAATATGAAGGGCTGTGCTTCCATTTTTATTTTTTTATTTTAATTAATTGTTCAACTTTGATTAATCGTAACATTTCACTAACCATACGGTTCTTACCTATTCCGAAAGCTATATGAAGTGGCATGTTACCATATTGTTGATTTCCTGTGTTAGTACATGTTTATTGCCGATTAGTATTATGTGCAGATCCCACCAACTCCCGTCCATAATAACTCTGCATAACTGCTTCTTGATCTTTTCATCACCTTTGGTTTCTGTTCCTTCACCTTTTATATTTGTTTCTGTTGGAATTCTATCTTGGCCGTTTCCATTTTTCTCGATTAGAACCGCGTCGTCTTGAGTTTTTGTTTCTTTTGTTACTAGTTTTGTTGGAACCTCATCCTTGTCTTCAGTTTGCTTTTCTTCTAAAACCACATCTATGCAGAGGCGGATCCAACAGATATGTCGGGGTAGCACGGGATACCCTTCAAAAAAATTTCAGTAGTGTAATTTTTTTAGAAAAAATTCCTTTTGTGTAGTGTATATATATGCATTCCTTCACTTATAATCATAAACAAATACCTAGTCTATTGGTTAAGGTGTTGGCTTATTGAAATAAAGGTCTTAGAATCAATTTTTGTTTCTTACAAATCCTTTGTTTACATATCTTTTAATTTTCCAACTATTCTACTCTTTTATTTTCTCAACTATTCTATCCCACATCCCCAAACACATGTAAACTTAGTTATATTCATCTATTATATAAGCTTCTTATCTTCATGCTTCATTTGATATCAACTTTAAGTCCCACATCGATTAAAGTATCAAAAGAAACTTCAACTTCATGTTTATATAACAACACTTGAAGTTAGCTAATTATTCGATTAAGGTTTGGGTCTAAAACCAAAACCAAATCAGAAAACCCAAGTACAGATTAAAAACCGAAACACCTAACCAATGGTTTTGGGTTTGGTTTGGTTTTAAAAATTTCAAAACTAAGGCTATCGGTTTTGGGTTAGATTTTAGGAAAAACTAACCCGACTCGCTCCATGCTCAGCCATCGCGGTGATACCCCGAAAAAAAAAGTTGGGATACCCCTTTGCTTTGAGCCTGGCTCTGCCACTGCATTTATGCCTTCTGCTTCTTTTTTTTCTTTTGAAACTGCATCTTTGTCTTTACTTGCTTCTAGTTTCGTTCGAGCTGAATCTACACATCCCTCTGACATTGTGATTAAATGAGGAAATCAGTGTGTAACGAAAATTAACAAACTTTTGTATTCATCGTCAAAAAGGTTTATAAACGTACGCTGTAACACCGTAATTTCAAAACAAATTTTCGTTTTAAAATAATCATTTTATTCTTAAAAATACTTGTTTAAAAATCTCATTCATAATCAAATTACAAAACAAAATTCCATTTTCACTTGTATAGAAAACCAGGATCCTCCAAGACATGACTCCTTATTTGGTGTGTACAATCAAGCCGGTGCCGTCCCGTGATACTGAAAGGAACCTGAATCAACATAACACAAACACTGTAAGCACGAAGCTTAGTGAGTTCCCCATAATACCTCACATATAACACATATAAGCCACTCGAGGCTATAACTCTATGGGTCCGTGCACCCAACTCTGTGAACCCTCAGGTTCTAACTCTAGGAACCCTTCGGTTCCAACTCTGCAAACATGCACAGCATAAATCACATAGAAATAATGCAGTACAACACATAACATACATAACATACAAATACTCTGTCACATAACTCTGGTTACATACTCAAGAAAAAGTATAGTGAGAAGACTCACTTGGCAAGTAGAAAGCAGATATCCCCACACTTAAATCTTGAACTCTGCACCGCCTAACACGTAAGACAAATACTCTCATGAATACAACTCTAGAGACTAGAATCAATCCTCTCACGGCATCCTCTTAAGGGTAAAAGACTATTTTACCCCTCCCTTGGCCCAAAGGCCACATCGCTGACCAAACCCTAAAAGTCAACGGTCAACCCTTGGTCAAAATCAAAGTCCTCAGTCAAAGTCAACCCCTGACTTACCCTACTCGCCGAGTCAACCCTTTGACTCGCCGAGTTCCTATGATCAGAACTTCACTCAATCCGCGACCCAACTCGCCAAGTCACCGCGAGACTCGCTGAGTCCAACAACTCTGAGTCCACTTGCACACAACTCACCGAGTCATCCCTTGACTCACCGATTCTCGACTCAACCAGGGAATATCGGGACTCTTCGACAAGACTCGCCGAGTCCACGAACAGACTCGTCGAGTCTAGGACTATCATCAACCTACTCGCCGAGTTGTTCATACAACTCGCCGAGTTCCAGACCATCTTCATCCAACTCACCGAGTTGTTCTTCCAACTCGTCGAGTGCCACCGGTCTGAATTCGTTCAGAAGCATTCCAGGCCATGCAATTGCTCCAAAACATGGATCTAGGCTCCTTTCACACATCCATCACGTAAGGTGGCAAACTTTACGTGAATCCAAGGAGATCTAGGCTATTGTACACTGGTTTAGGGTTTGGGACGTGCAAACTTCACTAAGCACTCCAACACAGGGATTTTCATGCTCACTGGTTCTTCTCCCCTTCGGATCTGAGGTAACAACCTCAGATCTAACCTCTAGACTTCCAATTACATCCATAGACAATTTCCCATAAACCCCAAAATGAAGAAACAACATAACAACATTCCAAGAACGAGATCTTACCTCTAAGAGATGTCCCAACTGCAATGCAATTCGAATCCAAGCAAAGCCCCTTGCTCCAAGCCTTCAATCCTCCAAAAATTCCTTCAACAATTAATTCTTAAACCTCCAATCCACTCAACAATGGTGCTTCATCGTGATTTAGGGTTTTCTGGGGCATGAGGGGTGATAAGGAGGCTGAGAGGAAATTATAATACCCTTTATTTAGGGCTCAACCATGGGAATTAGGGTTTTCTCCACTCAGCGCCTACTCGCCGAGTCCACTCATTGACTCACCGAGTCGGCTACTTAACACGCGACCAAATCGCGACTCTACTCACCGAGTCCATCCATGGACTCGCCGAGTCACTCTTTCCGAAGTTACTCTTTTAGCCCTTCAACTCTACTCTTGATATTTCGGGATGTTACAATTCTCCCCCACTTAAATTAGGCTTCGCCCTCGAAGCCTACGACAACTCAATTCCAAAACACTCCCGCAACGCGCCACCTGGCTCTAACCCGGCCAGGTTCCTCAAAGCATAACCATAGAACTCGAACTCACTTCCTCTTTCCTTACGGTGTCCAGACCACCGTCTCAAACCGGGCACCGACTGTACCCTCTGCTAACCACACTCAACGATCCGAGAATTACCCATGAAGCATCACTACCCCAAATCTCAACAATCACTTGACCCGTAAGGGCTAGAAAGCCATGAACCATCGGATCCCCGATCTGAATCCCACTCTATCCATCCCGTGCTGACAGAAAGACCCACTCTTCAATCTCAGAGTAACTCCCACAAGTTCTCCTCTTGCAATCACAAATGCAGGCTAAACTTGCCCAGCACCCTCAGGTTGGGAAACCCGATGTACCGATGATATCCTCCAATATCCCCCCAGGATGAACAACTAGTACATATCCAATACCCTGATCAGAACCAAACTGGGAGTCCCAGACTCCCTTCCTGCATCCATCTTGAGACTCCTAGCTCCACTCTCGCGGAACCCCTTCCGCGTCCTCAGCAGACATCCCAACGTGATGTCATTCCATATCACTGTCACAGACACAGTGTTCAACCACCGTACTCCAAATCATCCACTATCACTACTACTTTCACTTCCGTGAACCAACACTCCCCCCCTTCCCCGGGGGTTACATACCTTTCTCTTCCCTTACCCAGGGAAACCACTAGCCAACCTTGTTACTACTCCATGTATCACTCATGCTCTGGTTCTGCTCGCAAGGGCCCTCGAGTCCATGCGCTACCTCTCCCCAACAAAATGAGGGTCCGACACCGCCTCCCACACAACAGCTCAAAGGGTGGCATACTAATGCACTAATGATGGCTGTTGATATAGGATAACTCAACCAAAGGTAAATACGTGCCGCAACTCCCTCCGAGATATAATACACATGCCCGAAGCATGTCTTCGAGCATCTGAATCGCTCGCTCGCTCTAAAGTGTCCTCAGACATCATCATGATAAACTCTAGCTCCCCTCTCATATCCCTCTTCGATATTGAGCACCAGGTCAGCTTTTTGACTCCACAGCTGAGGCTCTAAAGGTCGCCCATATCATGATCCCAATAACCCACTAACCTTCTCCCCGTGACCACTATCCCGACCCAGGGACGCGCAAGTCACAAAATTCTCTTTTCCTCATGCAAGAAAATACAACCCAACCGAGGATCGCCTCAACTCTAATCTCTGGTTTCTGCTGCGCATATCCCCTTGTGCATTCCGCCTCATCTCCCGACAGAGATGGAGACCCCAGTCTCGCCCCCGATTCAACACTCAGGCTCCATAGCTCAATACTAGAGTTACACAAGCCCAAAACTCTTCCGCATCATACACTGGTCGAAAATCATTCCATCATCACATCCTCTTGCCATCTAGTGAGTACTACGGCTCCCCACAGAATCACAACACCCTCTAACTGGTGAGTACTACGGCTCCCCGCAGTATCGCAACACTCTCTGACTGGTGAGTACTACGGCTCCCCGCAGTATCGCAACACTCTCTGATGAGTGAGTACTACGGCTCCCCGTAGTATCACAACACCCTCTGACTAGCGAGTACTAGGGCTCCCCACAGTATCACAACACCCTCTAACTAGTGAGTACTACGGCTCCCCGCAGTATCACAACACCCTCTAACTCCACTAGCTCATGCTCCGCAGACTATCACAGACAGCTACCCAGACTCGACTCGAATACACATTCCAGACTCTGGAAACAATCGACATATCAAAATGCCCACCCTTGCGAAGATCCATTCTCCTAATAATTTTCTTAGATGCCCATATTCGAAGGGCTCCCACTAGATCCATAGATACCTGATACACCACAAGTCGTGCCAACTCAAGATTCACAAGTAACTCCGAGATAAAGGTATCGTACCCAGATACCTCGGAGTACCCCAACAGAACATCACAAGATCCTGCCACAACCACTGATTCCCTTACTCCCAACACCATACACTCACGACGATACATTTCCTCTGAATCCCATAATAATTCCTGATATCACACGTTGCGCAACTTCAGTGCATCCAAACACTCAATTGGTATACAGGGAAGGCGCTAACCCTTCAGAACACACTGGTGATCTTCCGAAACCCTTTCCACCACTTCTCAAAATTCAAGCAAGAATACACTTCCTAGCCCGGGAACTGGCTACTCGATAATCGGCTACCCATATCTCAACCCAGAAGTTCTCAACTGCCCATACCATCATTAGGAGCCTTCCACTCGAGATGACTCTGACCACCATCAGACTCCTGATCATTGACCATCTGCCGTGGGAACACCCATCCTTCTCTTAGACATATATCACAGGTATTATCTCGCCTTGCACCTACCTTTCCTTTAATTACCAATGACCCTGATCTCATAAATTCAAGCCGCTGGTTCTGCATCCAACCCCTAACCGCTCTTACACAAATCTCTGGTTCTCTCAATAAACCACTCGGTTCTCCCCCACTTAGGGTTCGAACCATCACTATCTGACACATCAACAACCTCACGAGCTATTTCCACCAGCAATAACGCACCTGCCCCTGGAAAAATGCTACGCAACACCCGATAATCCCCTTTAAAGAAAATTAATCGATCTCCTAACTCCGATTCCCAGATGAACTCCTCAAGAACTTTTCGCCACGACTGCCTCTAGTCGTTCCAAATCTCGTACCAATCTAGCACCAAACAACTCAACTGCTCTATAACATCCCTGTCTCATAGACCGAACCACAAAATCATCGCTCCAACACCGGGATCACCCCCAGAACAGGGACCCACTTCCATATCCATCACCTTAACATAGATAGAAAAACTCTCTGCACTGCTAAACTTGACCGAACTCCCCTACTGATCCCACCACAATACATCCTACTATACTCAAACAGGTGTAGTGTGGTCCTCGACTATCTCAGTCCCAACTGACTATCTGCTCA